TCTACGAGTACTACAGTTCCCACCGACGCAGCTGGAAGCCGGAAGCGTCGCCCACAATCCATCGTTCCGTCTTTTCCATCGTCGCACCTTCATCACCCTCAGATCCGCACGCCTTCTCGAACAAAACGTCGATCTGTTGGTAGTACAATCTCAGAGCGTATCGCCCCCATAGAGGATCTCGATCAAGCTGGCTTGCCTATGTCTATCTCTACGGTACCATCAACGTCGGCGTTACCTTTGAACAATTCACTCCTCTCATCGACAACGCTTTCGTTTGTGATTGATTACCTCGGTGCCATGAAAATGATCCGACAGACTCCGTTCATGAGCGACGACGATGTTGGCTTACTCAAATCTCTCAGCACTATTGGGTTTGACACTGGTCAGATGATGCATTCAGTACAATCCAACGCGTGTGACGCTTCTGGTGCAATGTGGTGGCTGCTGAAGCGGAAGTTGGAAAAAGAAGTAGCAGACCGGGAATATGCAGAACGTTCGTCAGCTCGACTCTCAGCCATGAGCGCGGTCTTGAAGCCGGTCCTGATCTCACAAGCAGCGGACGAAGCCGATGGAAAGACATTCGATGTGGTACCAATTCCTGACCCGAGCTCTTCCGTTGGTAGCTCCAACATTTTCATGCACGCCCCCGAAGATCGGCAACTTCCCGCGTCCTGTCCTGGCAAGCTACCACAGCCAAGAAGTAACAACGACTTCCACCTGCCACTATCTAATCCTCGCAAGGCGCAAGCCATTCTGACTAGCAGTCAGACCATTGAGCCCTTGCTGAACCCCATCAGGATAGTTGGAAAATCCGCGAACACGACTCCTGTCAAACCAACTCCTACCCAGAAATCAGACCAACTTCCCCCAAAGCCGCCTCCTTTTGTCAGTCTTGTTTCAGACGAAACAACGTGTAGCACTCCTTCCATCGGACACGATACCTTGTTCAACATAGAGCAGGATGGCCCGATCATAGTTGACACTGGTCGTCTCAAGCTTCCAGCGGAGAATCGAAAGCGAAGCCAGTCTGTCAGCATGTTGCAACGAGCTACTCATGCGCTTTCATCCAAGAAGCTACCTGATGAAGGCCACAGCAAGTCGACCAAAACAAAGCTCAAAGAGTCCCTCTTTTCTGACGGTCACGAGAAGACACTCACTGAAAAGTTGTCTAAAAAGGATATGAAGTCAAAGGAGAAGGAAGCGAAGCTATGGGACGAGAACATCAAACCCGGCTCAAATTCTTCACGCTCCGGCCTCTTTTCGCGTAGAACTATCCTACCCTCCTCGCACTCCACGCAGACAACACCCCAAATCTCTGTTTTGCTGACACCCGAGTTTTCGGCCGCTAGCGCATGTGGCTCAACCCCCGATCGAAGTTTTGCCAGCAGTCATCGGCTCGAATCCCCTGAAGCCCCGCCTCCCTCACGTTCAATGCCATCTTCTCCCAAAAAGAATGAGGATGTGGAAGTCAGTTCGCGGCGCGGAAGTGACCCACCAAGTGCCATCCCACCTGGTCATGCGTCGACGGTTTCTGCATCCACTTCTACGTCCACCGTAACACCTGCAAACATTTCGCAACAGTTTACCCCGGACAAGCGCCCCAAAACCATGTCATCCTCTGATACAGGTGACACTTTCTCAACCATTGCTATGGATGATGCGAGTCCTGCTCCCACCTCTGATGCTGTCAATTCCCTTATCAAAGTCAAAGCTAAAGGTTCTGGTGAAAATTCTGATCCCAACTCCACGATGAAAGATCGCAAAGGTAGCAATCTGTTCTCCAGCTTCAGGTTCTGGTTCAATGAGGATCGTCGCAAACGGAAACGCAAAACTATGGGCTTGCTGAATTATTCTGGCAGTAATACCCAGGGAATGAGTAATGGTAGTTATAGCACTAGCCGTGGCTCGAAGGCTAGCTCGGCCACCTTACCGATATCGGGCAGTGCACGAAAACCCGACTTGGATTCCAACACGTATCCCGTTCGCACTGCAGGCGTGTCAGCACCCATCCATCGTCAACTCAGCGCCAGTTCAAGACGATCGTCAGTTAAAAGTAGCCGAAGAGTGTCACTCGACATGGCTACAAACCGACGCGGAATCAAAAGACGAAGTGACTCGAGTAGAGCTTCGATTTCAAGCCTACCAGGCAGCCGCTCACCTACCAGCGAGTTTGGCTCTCAGCAATATCCTCCACAGCTTTCCGTGGATGGCAGTCGAGGGAAACGACATGGCCACCACCGACAGGGCTCCAATAGCTCTGCTGGCTCAAGACTTTCGAGTGTCGTCGTTCAACACGTGGGGTCTAGCTCAGCGGGCGGTAGCCACCATCCAACCGCCTATGTACGTCGAACGCCTTCGATAGGCACTACTGTCCGTCGCATCAGTACCACGAATCCATCAGCTTCTAGTGGTCATCGCCCGCGGTTATCGAGGAATCCATCTGGTGCATCTTCGGCGCGCTCCTCAATATCTTCTGAGGATGAACTATTATCTGCACGTTCCAAAGACGACCATCATCGTCTTCATTCGCCCATCAATGTCCACGATCTGGAGGAAACAATTGAAGAAGAGGATGATGATGATGATGGTGTTGGGGACGAGGTTGAGTTAGAAGTGGAAGATGATGCAGAAGAAGCTCGAGAACAAGCTCTAAATAAATTATCAGGTGGTAAAGGACAAAAGTTGATGATCAAGACCAAAGGGATCATGAAAGATGAAGACTCGTTTAGTTCTACCAGTCGAACCACTACAACGATCTTCTTGGCCCATAAACCTCACTCAGTCTTTGGTACGCCTACTCAAGCTTTTTTTAGTCGAAACATTCCGGCTTCACCAATGGGAGCGAAACTTGGACATGGTCTTTCACCATTGGTAGGACCAGGTGCAATGTATTTCAATGGGTCTGGGGCAGGAGGTAGTGGAAGTAGACAAAAGATTAGGGATGTATTTGCGGCTAAACAACAACAAGGTGAAGATGGAGAATGGGTTGATATAGAAGAGGAAGATGATGTGTGTGCTAGATATGGTGGAGGATTAGGTCAAACTGTTCATCGTCGTAGCTCTGTTAGTGATAATACACAACCAGTGACAATAGCAGCGCCTCAAAGAAAGATTGAACAACCACAACCATCAACACCGATTTCATTTGACAAGATCAGTAGTAGTAGTAGTGGTAGTAGTAACAATAATAATAGTAATGGTCATAATGCCTTTTTTATGAAAAATAGACCTGGTTCATCTGTACTTGGTGAAGGTAGGTATGCTGGAATAGGTGGTGGTAGTACAATTCTAGGTGTTGGAGGTAGTGGTAATTCAGGTGGAAGCGCGACAGCTTTTAAATCAGTTGCAATTGTTGAAGAAGAGGAAGAAGAAGAAGATTAAGAAAGTTTGGCTTTTTTTTGGTTTGTTTGCTTAAGAAATAATCTTTTCACTTTTATCAAAATCATTGGATTTCGAACATAGATAAGGATCGTGATCAATTTTTCTCTTTTCAAAACATCTTTCAATCTTTTAAATCTATTGTATAGTGTGTGTGTGTGTGTATGTTCTGTTTGTTTGATTGTTTGATTCGAGATCAGTTCTGTATTCGAATGTTGTGTTATTATGTTTTCAATTTTTTTTTGGTTCTGTTTCGAGATCGTCTGGTTCTTTTTTTTGCTTTGGTTGCAAGATGTGTGCGTGGTGTGTGTGTAGATCTGAGGTGGAAAAAATGCTCTTTAGAATAGGATTGAATTTTTTTTTAGAAAGAAAAGCAATTATAGTTGAAATGGTTTCGTCTTTGTATAAAGGTTTATCAATAAAAGCAATGGGTTTTTTAAGATTGAGAAAGTAGACATTGTTTGATTGTAGATCATTGTGTTGAAGATCTACTTCTGGGAGTGGTTGAAGACGTGCAGCACTATTAGCAAAGATCCATCGAACTTCAAGAAATGAGACATTCTTGAAATTGATGATCAGCTGCTCATGCTCAGATCACGCCGCGAATCATGACTTGAGGTTGTTTCCTCCGGGGCTTTGAATGCGGGATTGACTTGGCGTCGACAACACTTCAGGTTTTGCAATGCGAGGCTGAAAATTATCGATCAGGATTCAGGAAACCACGTTCATGAAGGCTGAACTCCAAATATATCAGCTACTGGTTTTCACTCCCATGTAAATATGCTCACATGTGCCCACTTCTTGTTGACCAAAGCCACCAATTTCATCAAGTCTTGGATGAATAAGAAACCACACTCATGAAGGCTAAGCTCCAAATATCCCAGTCATTAGTTTCGGTTTCCTGGCGTGTTAGTGTATGCACACATGATCCCACTTCTCGTTGACCCGACCCTCATATTTCATACGGTATAACATCATACTTTGTAATACTTACTTTGTAAGCTGCGAAAGGGTTCATTCATCAAAAATGATGTTGTCTGCAACTGTTGTGCAGCCGGTATCCCAGTGCAATTGGATTGAGATGCCGCTTGCTGTTGGTATGAGAATGATCAATGCTACTTGGCCAGCGCCGCGGCTTAATTCGAGTATGTCAGCCCTGTAGCATATGGTATGTTGGCCTGCCAAGGTGGTAAAGTATTGATGATGCAGCTTGCTACAACAAAATACGCACCGATCTGAAATCGTACAAGCTCAGTTTCTTCGCCTGGTCGGTGGAGATGTAGCTGGCAGTGATACTTTGGCGATAAAAATCTCAGTTTGTTCAAGCTGCCTAGGCAGCCATGGACGAACTTTCGTTTCTAATAAACTCAACCTACCTCTTTTCTTCTTGAAGGCTTTATAAACTACAACTATCATCTTTAATTGTCACTTTTTCTCGAGCTTCATTAATCCTGACGTCTTCAAGTATTCGATCTTTAATCTTCCTAATAATAATTCATTCAATTGCTCTATTTATCTAAGTTCGTTATTCAACGCTGCGCGTTTGACTCCTAGTAATATTTGTCTAATCAATCAACTTCATTCCAAAACTCGCAACTTCCTTACGAAACCCGACTTTTATCATGTTCTCTTCATCTTCCGTGATTCGTTGTACTGTCCTCTTCTCATCTGTCTTCTTCGTAGCATCGCACCCAGTTCCTCAAACACCATATGTAAGCGTATCCACATCAAATAACTATCAAAAATTTTACTGACACCGTTCTTCATTCAGTCACAGAACGGATTAGGGCAATATGGTATGATAGGTGGACAACCTGGCATGCTGGGAGTACAACCTGGTCTGATAGGCGGACAACCCGGTATAATCGGCGGACAACCCGGTATGATCGGCGTACAGCCTGGTCAACCTTACATCAACGGTATGGGAGGCGGTTCCTATCCTTATGGATCATCTTCGAGAATCGCAGGTCACCAAGGTTACCCCGGATTCGACGAGGGTTATAATGTAAGCTGTTGACAAACTGCTTTAATCACTTATCTTGAAACTAACTCATTCTTACCAAACAAATAGGGGTATCGTGGAGGAGAAGGACAATATATACCTGGTACAGCAGGACGTACTGCATCAAACGCAGGAATCTTAGGTGCTACTGAAGGAGGCCACGGAGGATTTCATGGTGCTGGTGCTCATCTAAGCATTCCTAGTACTGGATGGATTATGATTTCTGGACTTGCTGGACTTTTGACTCTTGTTCTATGAGACACATTATATGATACTTGTGATCTTCGTATTTTTATTGATTGTTTGATGAAAGATTATTTGAGAAAATTTGTAGTTTTATTTATGTTGCTTTCTTCATATATTTATTTCATACGTATTTTATAGAAAGTCAGAATCAGTTGAACTTCAATAAATAAATTATTTATTGATGGATAATTTTCTTTTTGTTGGAAAACGCGTGATATTACCATGTCTTGATTAGCGCCGTGACTTGATCCAAAATAATTTCAGCCGAAGTATCATAATTGATGGCTTGTTCCACTTTTGCTTTTAAACGTTGTGAAATTTTCATGACAAGGCGGCTCAAGTCGAGCTCCTGGCAGTTTTGTCGCAGTCAATTTTGTCAAATGAACATCCTTGAGGTTAACCAGATATTTTATGAGCAGTTTACTCACATGAACTTACGAGGGAACACCTCTTGACATCATCTCGCTCAACTCATCAACGGAGCAGAATATTGATCGACGTTTTTTGGGACAGATATTATTGCAATACTTGATCAAAGGTCGGGGATTAATATTGTTGCTTGGTCAAAAGCTTGGGTTACACCCATTTATATATCTGATCATTGATGGCTTCTCAAGAGGAGGGAGCTTATCCATTTATGAAAACCTGTTGATCACCTCCTTCACGAAAGGCGAGACACTATGACTGTAACTGGCAAAGATTTTCTGTCTCGCAACGAGAGCTGTGATCATTTTGACCCGAGCCACTTCAAGCGAGTTTGAGGAAAACTCTGCATAAGTATATTGTGAAATAAGAACCAGTCATGGTTGGATCTCGCCTGGCTGAAAGCCGGGCCAAGCGAAGCTGACAATACATAATATTTGAAAACCTGAGCCAGCGATGAAAACATGAAATATCAATTACAAGATCCGAATCAATACCAACAAAAAAACAACCCATGACCGTAAAAAAACAGAGGAACTGATGTATCAGACCAATACACACCAAGCATACATTATTCATTTGTAAAAAAAGCAACCACATAAACGAACTGGAAACAGAAAGTAAGGTCGGGAGGGACACGTGACTAGTTCAAAATCTGTTGATAACAAGTGGACAGCTACAAAGTTTTGATCTGATCCATGTCAAAGATGTGTGTCTTCGCCTGGTTCATGATCTGGATCTAGCCAGTCTGGTGAGAAACATCCCAGATCACCGCCATTCTCTATATCGGAATTGACTGTATACTTATTTCAAGCCGTCTAGGCTCCTCGTTGAAAGCTTTATAAACCACACATCTCGTCAACAAACGTTTTACATCCATTACCTCATCATACACTTTCAAGTATTTATAATTATTACCCCAGTTAATAAACTATCAGTTTTATTTGTCAATTTTATTAGACGCTGTGCGTTTGATACCAAGTAGTAATTTACATAGCAACAACAAAAAAAATCAATTTCAACTCCCTCCCTCAATTAAATCACATCATGTTATTTTCATCCCCCGCAATTGGTTGTGCTATCTTCGTCTCATCCGCCCTCTTCGTAGCATCACACCCAAGTCCTCAAAGTTCATCAGTGAGCATACTTGATACCTAGACCATTACCGAACTTTTTGCTAACTTTTTGTTTTGCTTTCAGGGGTCATCTTCGATGAACAATATGGGAAGCAGTTCAATGGGAAGCGGTAGTAGTTCAAAAATGACAGGCCATAACGGTATTCCGGGACACGCAGACGGTGACGACATTCATGATGTAAGTTTTGTTCAGAAAACAGCTCATTCCATTGTTTTCTTTCGTATAAGAAACTAACATATGGTTAAATACAAACAGGGAATGTCTCATACATCAGATGGATCTCACTATACACCTAGTACATCAGGACGCAGTACAAACCTAGCCAGCACCGACGGAGGTCACAATAGTGACGGAGGTCACAATTCTGACGGAGGTCACAGTACTGGCGGTCACAATTCTGAAAACGGTCATTCAGGAGCTCATCATTCTGATGCTCATCTACCCGGGCCTATTGCTGGATGGGTCATCTTCTCCGGATTAGCTGGGTTGATGACTCTTGCTCTATAATTTATCTTGTAACATGAGTCCCATTGCGATCAGCACTTTAAGACTTTCCTAATTGTTTGATGATCAATCATACATGTTTTTAGCGCTGCCCATGTTCCTCAGGCTCTACATATATAATTTATACGCATGCTTTATAGAATTTGATTTGATTTGAACTTGAACTTTCAAGGGGGAACCTTAGTCTCTATAAGCACCGATGCCTTGTTTGGTCACTCTCTGAAGGTGTGCCCGATTGGCCAATTGCTCCAACTTCAGTGACAAACATGGTACCCCACTAAATCTCCGAGTCGAATACATACCTGCCCGCTTTTCTAGGCAAGCCCACCGAGTGCATTCATTGATTACTACAACACACTTTCTGGAAAAGAACAATTTATAGATAAAAATTGTAGAAAATTGTAGAAGTGAGTCAATACCAGGCATGCCACAAACTTCGTCGCTCGAGCTTCCACCATCCCTTCCACTCTATTTGTCAGTGTGAAGCTTGTCAATAAAGATACCAATGCTACTTTTATTAAACCTGTTCATCTCAACAATTGCTGTGACCATCATTGCATCCACCACAAAACACGGTTGATGAATCATCTTTCATATGCTCGAGAAGCTTTTTTTTGAAAAATTCTTGCGTTACTATTCGATTCAGTCAGCGAAATTACCTACATACAAAGGAGGGAAGAGATATGGGTTTAAAATAAAGGCTTGGTGAGATAAACTCTTGGCCACTGACATTTCACTGGTTTAATAATCACACACGCCTGTTAAAGGTGACCAAGCATGCTCAAGTCAAAGTAAAGAGCAAGAGATCACCCGTTTTCAAAGATCATTGATCAGACAAGAATAGTGGTTTTTCTCTGAGTTCAACTCAAATTGATTTCTATGAAGCACACGCATGAAATGTGAAAATACTTGAAGAAAGGTACAAAATTGTGAGCTCGTTCTTCACACAATTAAAACATCATGAGAATATATTGAGAAAAATACTACAAGAAACTACAGAACAAGACTTGATATACCAGCAACTACAGATAGAAGAGCCCATCCAGCCATGGGAATAGGTAGATGAGCATCAGAACGATAAGCTCCACCACGAGCTCCACCGCGAGCTCCTACAGCACTGCGACCTCCTTTGATGGTAGCTAAAACCCTTTCATTCGATACAGCACGTCCCACTGTCCCGGGTGAGGAATGAGTTGCATTGTTGTCATACGAGATTCCCTGTTTGTGTTCAAAGATAGATCAATTCCGCGTGTCAAGTTAATGGATAGATTGGAGGGTTCGTTCCTAAGGAAAGCTTACATGATCTGTTTCGTCACCATCTGTATTTGCCAGGGAGCTTTGATGGGCCTGGTGTTTTGTTGAGACATTTGAAGATGTGCTGTTTCCCATACTGTTCATTGAAGATTGTTCCTACATACAAGAGAATTGTTAGTAGAAGAATTGATGATCATATTGTTTGCAAATTTACTCACAGATGACGTTTGAGGACTTGGGCTTGATGCTACAAAGAGGAAGGATGGGGCAAGGATAGCACAACCAATGACGGAGAATGAAAACAACATGATAAAAGTTATTTGGGGAAGAAGTTGATGATATGGTTTTGAGGTTGAGCTGGTTGAGTAGTGCTTGAGGTCAGATAAACTTGACAAATAAAATTGAGCGATAAATTGAAGGACCAAATGTTGAATACTCGAAGACGTATGAAGTAATGATTGGAATCAGAGGAACTGTTGATCGTAGCGGGTAAAAGCATTTCAGAAATGGAGAAGGGAATGTATGAACATCACCCGTACGAGGCACGAAGAAGATCACGTTGGTCCATGAACTCAAGGATCCTGGTCATCTTAGAGATCGGACCAGGTATCAATGTCCCTAGGTGCGCGCCGGTTCTGTATCGAGAAAGTAAAGCAATCTACGGAGTCGTGTACTGGAGATGCTTTAGTAGACTCAGACCTCCTGCTCCTGATAAAAAGATGTTATAGGACTCGCAAAACTTTCCTTCTTCCCAGTTCCGATTATTTCTCCTTAGCCGTAGGATCCTCTCTGCTTCAGGACTCCCTTAAAGTTATTTCCCTTCTATCCTGTTATCGTGTCTATTATTGGGGTTGAAGATGGAAATATGTCTGAAAAAGACTATACTATTGGAAAGCCCCATCTGGGAAGCAGATTCCGGTTAATTTGATTTTTTAAGACAGAAATCTTGAAGGGCTAGGAGGCCAAAGTACGTCAATTTTTAGGCACTTTGTGGCCAACTTGAACCCCGCTAATGGTACTATTGAAGATATCTGTAGTTCATAAACCTTTTGACGAGAGGGAACTCCGAAATGAGGCCGATGGATCTTGTGCCCTTCTAGTCGAGATAGGATCACTCGTCCAATAGAGACTTGGTTAAGTTAAGGGCTACCTCACTGTGTGGCGTATGGCCGCAACGAAACATAAAAAAGCAAAACAGAGCAAAACGGCTCGCCAGCGATTTCTTTTGAACTGTTGCGCGCTTTTCACGCTTTTCCTGCGGGAATATTTTGCGCGTTATTTGAGCGCAATTCTACCTTTGACCCTCTACATACTTTCCTCACAAGCGGCACCAAGCTCGCAAAGGTCAAAAGAGCCACACGAGAATTGGACTTGGGTTGAGTTACATTGTTGCATTGCGAAAGTACTGTGTTGCAATGCGCTCCCCCTCTACCCCGTTTTATTGCGCCGTATACACAATGCGTGCATTGATGACTGCGCCCCTACGCAATGCAATCGCAATGCAACTTTGCAATAGTCCTCGCGCGTTGAGGGGAGGTAGTTGAGTTTATTGGAAAGTCTATCCATGACTGCCTAGGTAGCTTGAATCAACTTGACACCCATTTCCGTAGAGAGAACGGCGGCTGTCTGTGATTTTTCTCGCGAGACTGGCTAGATCCAGATCATGAACCAGGCGAAGGCACACAACTTGTACAATCTCCATCATTGATTTTTTCCAAAGTGCAGATTTGCTTTATTGCATATACACTTTCTATTTAAAACGAGTTGGACTGATGTACCAGGATAATTACGGCCATCCAGTCGGTAACCAGAGTCTGTGTCTGATTGTCGACCATTATGGATTAGATACGATTGGATGCAAAATCATAGCCGGTCCCATCTTATTGAATGACAGAGAGTTGTACAATGTGCGTGTCTTGGCCTGGTTCATCGCTTCCAGCCCGTCTCGCAAAAATCCCAATTAGCCGCCGTTCTCTCTACGGAAATGGGTGTCCAGTTTGTTCAAGCTACCTAGGCAGCCACTGTCGAACTTTCAAATGACCTCAACTAGCTTCCCTCTCATCAAAGGCTTTATAAACCACAGCTATCGTTGATAGTAAGTTTATCTCCACCACACCATACGCCTTCAAGTACTTCACCTTTCAACTATCATAATTTATCAACTTATTATTAACTAGTTTCATTTGTCAATTTTTTCATTCAACGCTGCGCGTTTGACTTAAAGCAATACTCAACCAGCACAAATCCAAATCCTCATCATCGTTTTTCACCCGAAATACGCTTCTATCATGTTATTTTCATATTCCATCATTGGTTGTGCTATCCTTGCTCCATCTGTCCTGTTGGTAGCATCAAGCCCAAGTCCTCAAACATCATCCGTGAGTAAATTTCACTTAAGATGGTCATCAAACGTCCCAGAACCTCCTACTAACAATTTTCTTGCATTTAGGGAACATCTTCGATGAACAGTATGGGAAGTAGCATGTCTACTAATGGCTCACCACGTGCTGCATCAAACGGAGGAGTTTTAGCTACCGCCGACGGAGGTCACAATAACGCCAGTCATTCAGGAGCTCATCATTCTGACGCTCATCTGCCTATTCCAATTGCTGGATGGGCCATTCTCTCTGGTTTTGCAGGGCTTTCAACTCTCTTTCTCTAGATAATGCTGTATCACTTTGTCATTTTGATTCCAATGATTGTTGAATTGTTTGACGAGTACACACAGAACTTTGTAGCTTTCCTCGCGTATCTTTACCTACATCATGTTTGCGTATGCTTGTATGCTTGATACAATTCCATTCCTCGAAGGAAATATCCCTCATCACTTGGGGAAAGGTCTTTGCAAATGCCCCCATCTCTTACTACTTACCTTTACTTGAGCCCGTCTGCTCACCCTGAACAGGTGCGAGCAACTGTCAAACTATGTAGTTGAATCCTAGTGGCCAACGGTATATCCCATCAGCCTTCTTATCATATCCATATCACTCCCCGACTTCCTATGTATGTAACTTTATCGGTCACATTCACTATGAGACCAGAAGCATTTCAGTCTCGTTTCTCGAGATCAAATCAAATCATCTTACTTCTAGACTTTGTGAAATGGAACACCAGTTGATAAACCATCATTCCCCATGATTATGTATGAATCTTTCCACGCACACTCTAGCCTCTGACATCACGGATATGTCCTTGTCCTTGAGATTTTGGTATACAGTCAAACTTATTGACATAGCATTTAGATTGTTCGGCACATCAAAGAAATTCAACCCCCACACGAACATTACTTCACTTGATGAGCTGTTGAGAACGTCGTCCTCTTACCGCAGGTCTCAGACCTTTGCGCAAGGGTCTTAACTGAATCTTGAGGACAAAATTTGCTGTCAGATCTGCTTTGTGTCTCATAAGATATTTCCCTTTTGATACCTCTATGTCACAGATAAACTAAGTAAAACTTGAAAATGGATTTGGAGATCAAGGGTACCATGGCAGATGTAATAGTCCTGTTTCAAGATTATAGGTAATTTGATCCAGTCAACTTATTCCCCAGTGTTGTCTTGGCCCTGGGAAGTCTTTTTAAAAGGAGCTCAATAGTCACGATTGATCCCTGCACATGCAACAAAAAGATTGAAATGGTCCATGAGATAGGCTCAGATATTGGCATTTCAGCTTCGAGTTGAGTGGTGTGTTCTGGCTGGAGGCAAGTGATCTGCAGAGATGTGAAAGATTGTGTTCTCGTCTAAGTAGACATTTCAAGACATTTCATAAGGATGTCACACTGACAGCATCGTGTAAAGATGCGTGAACGTATCTGATTTTCAGCTGTAAAGTGCTGTTTCACAGATCTGTCCAAGGTTCGTGATCGAAAGGTCAATCGATCAATCGACTGCGGTTTAAAGGGAACGCGTCAGCACCTAATAATAGTCCACTGCAACTTGTTCCACTTGCCTTCGTATCCATCCTAACATACATTTACTACTTATATACTTGTCAATTGTAAGAATTCGATTCACTTCCTTCCAATAACTCATCAGTTTCCAAGACACTTATATTCACTTCTGGTTTTCTTCCTTAGCCCATCAATATCATATCCGTTTATCATGTCAGAAGACCCATCCATCAAAAAAGATCTCGTTGGCACTGATCAAGATCCTGCTACTGGTGAGTCACTTATCGTCTTGTGGTTTTCAGTTTCATGTTCTTATATCGCCGTTGCTCACGCCACCTTCGATTCCCTTCATAGCCATCCTGAGACCAAAGAAATCGTTAGTACACCCCACCAAAAGACAGCTTCCGTGCCACCCTGTGACTGAATGGAAGATGATCTGACGTCATTGTGATCGAATCTAAATTTTCTTGAAATCTTTTCTCACCAGTCCCAATCGTTTAGTTGTATGTCCAACTTCGTTTCACTTTGCTTGGATTTAGTTGGATAGCGAGAAATTGATTCTATGACTGACGTCATCAGGTCGACGAATCAACCGCCGATGATAACTCAGTTGCCACCCTCAATCCAGCCACGATGGAGATCCTCTCGCTTTTCAGGGGTGACACCATCATTGTCCGTGGAAAGAAACGCAAAGATACCGTCCTGATTGTACTTAGCAGTGATGATGTGGACGAGGGCAAGATCCAGATGAACAAGGGTAGGTTTGGGTTCAAATTTGTCTTCCTGAGACGAAGCTGACGTCATCAACGACTATCCAAAGTCGCTCGTAACAATTTGCGAGTCAAATTAGGAGACGTGTGTAACGTGCACCCTTGTCACGACATCAAATACGGCAAACGGATCCATGTGCTTCCTTTCGATGACTCCGTCGAAGGCCTTACTGGGAATATATTTGAAGTGTTTTTGAAGCCATACTTCCTTGAGGGTAAGTCATCGTCACATATTCCGAACATTGACTCAAAATGATAACTGATCGCGTATCTACTACAGCTTACCGACCGCTCCGAAAAGGAGACTCCTTCCTTGCTCGCGGGGCCTCCCGATCAGTTGAATTCAAAGTCGTAGAGACTGATCCCGCTGAGTATTGTATCGTTGCACAAGACACCGTCATCCACACTGAAGGCGACCCAATCAAACGGGAAGACGAAGAGGGAAATCTCAATGACGTTGGTTATGACGACATTGGGGGATGCCGCAAGCAGATGGCCCAGATCCGTGAATTAGTCGAATTACCGCTTCGTCATCCTCAACTCTTCAAGAGTATCGGTATCAAGCCCCCTCGTGGTATTCTTATGTTCGGTCCTCCTGGAACTGGTAAAACTCTCATGGCCCGTGCGGTCGCCAACGAGACTGGTGCATTTTTCTTCTTGATCAATGGGCCCGAAATCATGAGTAAGATGGCTGGAGAAAGTGAAAGTAACTTGCGAAAAGCATTCGAGGAAGCCGAGAAGAACGCACCTGCAATTATTTTCATTGATGAGATCGATTCAATCGCCCCTAAGAGAGAAAAGGTAGGCAAAAGCCCTCATGCTGGTCTTGTCTCTCTTTAAACTGACCCGACTTTCTTCTTTCATAGACCAATGGAGAAGTCGAACGTAGAGTAGTATCTCAACTCCTGACTTTGATGGATGGTCTCAAAGCTCGATCCAATGTTGTGGTGATGGCTGCCACCAATCGCCCCAATTCCATCGATCCTGCGCTGCGTCGGTTCGGTCGATTTGATCGTGAAGTTGATGTCGGTATTCCAGACGCTACAGGCCGACTCGAAATTCTACGCATCCATACCAAGAACATGAAACTCGGTGAGGATGTTGATCTAGAGAAGATAGCAGCCGACACCCATGGTTACGTGGGTTCGGACGTGGCATCTCTCTGTTCGGAGGCGGCTATGCAGCAGATCAGAGAAAAAATGGATTTGATCGATCTCGACGAAGATACGATCGATGCTGAAGTATTAGACTCACTCGGAGTGACGATGGACAACTTCAGATTTGCTCTGGGCACCTCCAATCCATCTGCTTTGCGAGAAACAGTTGTGGAGGTTCCGTCAGTCACTTGGGACGACATCGGTGGGTTGGAAAAAGTCAAACAAGAACTTCAGGAGACTGTTCAATATCCAGTGGAGCACCCCGAAAAGTTCCTCAAGTATGGTATGTCACCAAGTAAGGGTGTCTTGTTTTATGGACCTCCTGGTACCGGTAAAACGCTCCTCGCGAAAGCCATCGCCAACGAGTGTCAGGCCAATTTCATCAGTATCAAAGGACCTGAACTGTCAGTTGTCACCTTTATGCTCAGCCCACAACAACATACTGAACCGTCCCCTTTATCGTTTTTAGGCTCACTATGTGGTTTGGTGAGTCAGAGGCCAATGTGCGAGATGTATTCGACAAAGCAAGAGCAGCCGCTCCCTGTGTGATGTTTTTTGACGAGTTAGACTCAATTGCTAAAGCTCGAGGAGGTAGCTCTGGTGATGCTGGAGGTGCTGGTGATCGAGTCCTCAACCAGATTCTAACGGAGATGGACGGAATGAACGCAAAGAAGAACGTTTTCGTTATCGGTGCTACCAACAGACCTGATCAAATTGATCCCGCTCTGCTGCGACCGGGACGATTGGATCAATTGATTTACATTCCACTCCCCGATGAGACGTCTAGGGAATCGATCTTGAAGGCTGCCTTGAAGAGGTCGCCTCTAGCGCCTTCTATTGACTTGACATTCTTGGCCAAATCTACTCATGGTTTCTCTGGTGCCGATCTTACCGAAATTTGCCAGCGGGCGGCTAAGCTAGCAATTCGTGAAAGTATCGAAAAAGACATGCAAAAGGACAGAGAGCGCCGTGAAAGAGAAGCTCAACTTGAGGTGACTGGAGGTGATGCGAAGATGGACGAGGACGCTGGCGAAGAGGAGGACCCAGTACCCGAGATCACCGCTGCGTTAGTTCCCAAAATTTTGCAATCCTTTGAGTCTCTCATTAACCGCAATCTTTCTTGTTCGTCAGTCACTTTGAAGAGGCTATGAAGTACGCTCGCCGGTCGGTATCCGATCAAGATATCAGGCGATGTAAGTGGCTTTGAATGGTCTGGAGCCCCTTTGAAAACGCGTGTCTCGAAAATAGTTTTAACATATGGTGCCTTCTATTTCCTTAGATGAGATGTTTTCAACAAATTTACAACAGAGCCGAAGTTTTGGAAGCTCTTTCAAATTCCCTGAGGGCGAGGGCAATGCACCGAGTGCTGGTGCGCAAGGTGGAGCTCAGTTTGGGCAAGAAAATGAAGAGTGCGTATTTTTGTCTGAATGATGATCCTTGGCCTTGAATCATAATTGACCTCTTGAACGCTGGCCTGTGTTTTTACGGTGTTTAGTGACCTGTATGCATGAGCTCACAATCTTCCCCTTGGCTCCAAATATGGATAGCTTACCCCGAAGTTTTTGACCCGGGGGTTGCATTATGAGATGGTTTTTCTGGCTTCTTTTTTTCGAAACGAAAAATGTCATCAAGCGGTAGTGATGTGGCAAAAGTGCCCTTATACTTTAAATGTAATAGAAACAGTCTCAAAATTTCAATTTCAATCTAATCAATCAATGCTCACGCTAGCCCGCTGTTTGAGTCGTGTTCCCGTCGTTCAAGCTGAATATCTTTGCACCATTGCCATAAAGGAATTGGTTTACAAAACACTTGAAATGTCCTACATAAAATTCTCCAACTTTCAAAATAAAACCCAAGCTGGGACGTTATGGTGTGGTCATTAGCCGCGCCCTTGAAGACAAGCTGTTGTGGTGAGTATGCACATTCGGCCCCCAAGTCAGGGGCCAAGAGGGAGCAGGTCCCAGGATAGTCGTCAAACTTAATGGATCTGATGACCAAATCTTATGTCGAACGTATGACAGGTGTCTCCTTTTAACCAGTTTACCATTTACAACTCACCTTCTCTTTCCCGTTGCGCAATACTCCAAACCATAGAACCTCTCATTGTTGAACCACTCGAAACATGTCTCCTAGCATTACCGAAACTGAACAGCTTACCAAAACCCAAGCCATCACGGGCGATGAGCAAACTAAAGTTCAACCGAACGCGAAACCTATGAAATTTATTTTACCACCTACGTTCGATGACAAAGAGGAAGAGCGCAAGTTCAAGCTGGGCAAATTGGCTGCAGCATTTCGAATCTTTGGAAAAGTGAGATTTGTGTCTGCTTCGTCGGTCTCGGGATGAGATCGACCTCTCATTGATGAATCTTGCATCCTTGCTCCTTTCTAGTATGGGTTGGACGAGGGTGTTGCAGGTCACTTAACCTTGAGAGATCCAATTCTCAAGGATCACTTCTGGTGAGGCAGTGGTACTTTTCCGTTACGATCAAGTTATTCATATTCACGATCGATCGCATCAAACGGCCAGGGTCAATCCATTCGGTATTGCATTTACCCAAATGACAGTCTCGGACTTACTTTTGATCAGCCCAAGCGGTGACATTGTAGCCGGGGGAAAGCCAGACAGGCAGCTCTACAATCAGGTAACGGATACCCATACTGATTTAGCTCACAACATTGAGACTATCTGCTGACTTCGTGGTCTTTACCATTATCGAATATCAAGGCTGCATTTGCGATCCAGTAAGTTATTTACAACTTATAGAAGCTTGTCAGGATATTGACTGATCTTGTTCCATCTAGTCATGCTATTCATTCCGCTCGACCGGATGTCGAAGCCGCATGTCATAGTCACAGCCTTTATGGGCGTGCGTTCTCAACCCTTGGCATCAAGTACGCACATATCGACATATTCCTCAGATTACCTCGCTTTCATACTTACCCGTCTTGCATATCAGACTTGACATAACTACCCAGGATGCTTGTGCATTTCATAACGACTTGGGGTTATACACGGGTTTCGGTGGTGTGGCCCTCGCTGATGAGGAAGGCCAGAGAATCGCTGGTCAGTTTTCTTCATACTCACCATCGATAAAAATGGCGTTCTGAAAACTGCGCGATTGACTTGGTCCTTTCTTCCAGAGGCCTTGGGGGATAAGAAGGCTGTGATCTTACAAAACGTGCGCAACACATCATCAGGAAATCATTTGATTTATACTATCTACCGATTGTAAATGGATTCTGACCATCTTCTTGGGGTTTCCTTTATCAGCATGGACTTTTAACGACAGGTCCAAGTATTGAGGCAGCGGTGTGGTGGTTCATCTCGCTTGAAAGCCTCTGTCGTATCCAGCTCTTGGCTGATGCTGCGGCTGTCGGTCGAGGAATTCGTCCGATCGTGGTTGGTGAAGATGAGGCTAAATTTACGTATAAAACTACCGGTATGTTCATTCACCAATTCCCCCTAACTCGTACTTTACCTGAGCTGATGATTATTTCTCTGGTTTGATTTCCTACAAAGGTTCCGGTTTTGCGGGATGGGCTCAGGCTCAGCCTTACTTTGACAAAATACATACAGAAACCAATGGGGCTTATAAGTTATAGACTCGCCTAACGCAAGTTGTCTCGACGAGTCTCGCTGGTCATTTCTCATCGGCTGATCTTGAGTTTAGTATATGCCTTTTTGTTTCAAGGCAAGCATTGTACACGTATTATCAGTCCCTAACTATGTTCATCCAATTGGTCCAAAGCAGCGCCATCTTATTATGTAAAGTATATCATTTATTTGCACACTAACGTTAAATGAGAGAAGTCAAGATGAGCTATAGACATCATGCCTTGTTTTTTTGGCAAAACTTTGGATAAGTCCTCTGGCTTGGAGGAGCAGGACAACTCAGAAGTGGGTTCCAAGTGTCAAAGGATGGGCGATTGGGCCTGTCGTGATATAAATGTTGGCCAGTGCCCAGACAGTACAAGAAACTATATTGCACGGGGGAGTAGAGTATATGCTCGTTTTCATGGCTTGCGAATGGGTTTCTGTCCAATTGTTTACGTAGGTTAGATATTACATTTTTGCAGAAAAATCATGAATCCTCTCGAGAACATGTAAGATGGAAAGTGAAGTCGTGTTAATTAGATAGCATGTGTCAATGCAGATTTGACAGATATAAGGTGGAAACATCTCGAAGTAAGGCATCATGAGAGAAGTTGACACTGAATCAAGTCCGAGTGATCGCATATTTGAGTGTAGCCAACCCCAAGTGAAACCGAGTCTCTGATTGCATAGTACTTTGGTCGTGAAGGTGTTGTTGTTGTTGCAGCCCTTCGATCCTTGCGATATGGCATTTTGGTCTTATATGGCTTGCCCCTGGGTATATATCGATGGAAAGATTGATTGGATCGGTGATCAAATCTTGGTGGTCGCTCTTGCTTTGACATGAGAAGTGGCTTTGGCCTGAGCTTTTTTAGCTTCTTCTGCATCTTTTATAGGTTTCATGATTGATAGTTTGCCAACTGATCTTGATACAATCGTTCGTTCGATTTGAGTTGTCACATCTCTTGAAACTTTCTAAAGAGCAAAAATGACCATTATCAATAAACCTACTAAACTATGTTGAAAAATGTGATAAAATGCAAAAATATTATGTGAGAATAACGTAGTACATACTTGTTTTCGTAACATTTGAGTGATCGCTGGTCCTTTTACGGGTGCCACAGTACGTCCTAAAAAGAAGTTAGTCAGGTCATGATCAATCCGAAGGAAACCGAATGGAGATACGAAAGTCTTACCGCCTTTTTTGACGGCCTGTGGTTTTGTTGATTTTGTGGAAGAAGATGAAACTTTCTTGGGTTTGAATCCTTGAGCCATTGGAATATTTACTTCGATAGTTTTGATTAGGAAGATGAGTTGAAGGGTTAAGAATCAAGAGTGGTTGGTATGACAAAGAAAATATCTCAAGTGATGTGCACCATTTTTCAATTCAAGGCGCACACCCAAGACTGGATGCGCCGCACGAGAAATGCGCCGCATCAAACATACAATTATGATCCGGCCACATTTCATCACACTTGAAGCCTATGCCTTCCGCTGATGTTTGAGTGCCCTTTGACTTCTGTGAAGGGTTCGGGTTTTGCGTCCTCGCTGTCAGGTGATGTGAGGCTTTGAGACCTTTTCATGATATACGGAGAACAAGGCAAAGAAAGAGCAATGACTTGAAAGGCCGACTCAAGTTTGGTCAACCGTCATGTAGATATGTATACTTAAGTATTTAGTACAACCACACCTTTGTGACACACCTGTATCACGACCTTTGATCAGTTTTCTATGACTTTGCCCTTTTGAACCACTCTGAGTCTGAGTCTGACTCATCCCATTCACCAACAAAGCTCACTACAATCACTATACTCATCTCCTCTCTCAAATTATCCTCTTCAATCGGACAACGTTTCAACTATATCCTGCCTGGAACTTGGACTGCATCTCTAATCAATTGACGCTATCCTACACATTTTCATCCGGAACGCGTCCGGCTCGATCTCCCCGTTTATCTTCTTTTGACACTGATAGATCTCTCCCTGGAACCAATACATACCTCGATCGGCCAGTGTGGATGGTCTGATGTCCGAGGCGATGCAGGATTCAGATTTGCCTCAGCCGGCAGTAGCTTGCGTGAATGGCGATGGGATGGACGCGACCTCTAATTCGATCGTCTCTGCGCTACAGACAGAGCTAGATGAACTCAAAGCTGAACTCAAACGGGTTCAGATCGAATCAGAATCCGATCTCAACGAGTCCAACGGCCGCGTACTTGAACTGGAAACAAAACTTTCAAATCAATCGAACCTTCAAATTCAACTTGATGCCAGCCTCAAGGAAGTGAACTCTTTGAAAGAAGCACTGAAGACAAGGACGGGAAGTAACGAAGAGTCTCAAGAGAAAATTTCAAAATTAGAAAGTGAAAAAAATGACTTGTTAGAAGTGGTCAGAGACAGTCAAAAGGAGTATGCTGATTTAGAAGGTAAGTCACTAGCTATGTGAATTAGAAACCACTGGCTTTGATGTCTATAAAGAATCATACTGATGGTATTTTTTTACCCCCAGCTGAAACGCAATCGAAAGCTGAACAGTTGGATATGGCCAGAGCTGAGATTCGAAAATTGGAGACGACCCTCGCAACTTCTCAAGAAGCTGAACGAGTCGCCCGATTACAGGCTCAGGCTCTCGAGTCTAGTTCCAATCTTGTCAGCGCTGATCGGGACTTTTATGTGAAAGAATTAGAAGAATCTCGAATGGGCTGGCAAAAATTTAGGACTGACAGTGTACGTCGAGATTTCTGGAGATCACCATTCTCTCCTTTTCTATGGAGGATTTTAGAGTAAAGGAATTGCCACAATATAAACTAATTGCGTGGTATGGCGCTATGGAATGTGTGCACAATGAATTAAACCGTTTTGATACTCCTTTCCCGCTGCATAACATGCTTGTTAACCTTTTCATAGCACCAAGAAATATCTCGTCTTCAAACGGAGCTAGACAAACTTACCCACGCCCACGATCATCTCACTACATCTAATACCGCCCTTCACACTCAACACACCAGCCTTCAGGAGCACCACAATGAAACCATCGAGAAACTCAAAGATCTTTCACACCGGCATATTGAAGAGGCAGCCGCTTTCCAATCAGAAATCGAGATTCAAAAGCGAGTTACACAATTAATGGATCAGCGCGATAAGGATCGAGGTCGCCGTATGGAAGAAATTGAATCGGAATGGAACACTCGGCGTACAGAACTGGAAGAGCGGGAGAAAGCCTTGGACGAAGAATTGGGACGAGAAAGAGCGCGTTACAACGAGCTAGAAAAGAAACTGGCACAAAACCAAAGTGTTCTCGATAATGTGCTTGCATCAGAAACCCCTGGTTACGATTTCCCAGATGAAGGACATTCGAATGGCGACATCAACCTTGGGAATGCCACCCCAGGCTCTCCACTCAACCGTCTACGGAATGGCTCGGCTCTGCGTAATGGACTCAGTCCAGCTGCTGCCATGGTCAATAATCTCCAACGGAGCGGCAAGAGTCTTACTCAGATATACACCGAAAAGATGTTGCTTGAAGAGCAATTGGCGGAATCGAAAGATGAGAACCTTCGTTTGAGCGAGTGTTTAGCTACAATCATGGGTGAGATTCAAGACAAGGTAAATTTTAGTTTTTATTCTCTAAACCTTTCATAAAAGCGGTATGCTTACTGATACTTTGAACTTGAGAAAGGCGCCAGTCATTCAACAACAACGTGTAGAAGCCGAGAGGATCAGACTGGAGTTAGATGAGCTAACCACGGAGCTTACGACGTCGATTGAACAGAAGGAAGAGGCTGAACGCAAATATGAAAGTTGTCTCCTCGATCTCAAGGGCCTTCAACGTGATCATGATCTATCGAACCGTCAACTACAGGATTTGAGTTTGCAAGTCCGTGTTTTGACAAAAGAAGTGACGATTCGCGATCGTGGAGACAGCCGCGGTTTGAATGGAGATGAGGATGACCTGGCCAATGAAGCCAGAAACGGATACATCAACCTCGAGGATGAGACAGAAGATCCCCTCCTCTCCAATGATCTCGTCACATTCAAGGATATTGCCGAGCTGCAGCACAAGAATCTCAAATTGTTAGCAGTAGCTCGTCAATTGACTGCCAAGCTGCAAGAACTAGAAGCGAATCGCGCGATGAGTGACGATGAAGATGAAGACGATCAAGCCGCGAAACAAGCGGTGGAAGAGGCTCATGAACTAATTCTTCGCTTAAAATCCGATGTGGAATCTGCTCAGCGCAAGAGTGAGGCCTTGTCACGCGAAAGAGACATGCTGAGACGTATGTTGAGTCAATCGCAACAAACGAACCTCTCATCTGAGGCTTCACATGTCAACCAGGGCCATGGCCAACAGTCAATGAACGGGTCTCATCAGCAATTTGAAGAGCTTCATGCCCAGTTCGAAGCTTACAAGACCGAGATCGGAGCTGACTCGAAACGACTTAACGAAGACTTGAATCGAGCCCGTTCAGATCTTTCTCAGGCGCAGGTATCGCTAGCCAAAGCTAATGCTCAGATTGAGTATCTCAACGGTATGTCGTGTTTGTGATAGTGGTAGTTGACTCTTCGCACTCAATCAATCCTGTATGGTCTATCCCCATTCCTCATTCATGCCGTGTATACCAGAGCGTCACAGAAACATCGATCAGACAAGTGCTTTACAGACACAGGAAATCCAGAGTCTTACCAAGACAAGTATCAAATTACAAGAGCAGCTCGTACAAAATGAAATGCGGCTTCATCAGGTATTTCTTAATGTTTGAAAATGTCTTGAGGAAAAGCTTATGAATGATGCGATGATATTGGTCACAGGCGAATGAAAGTGCAACTGAGCTCAAGACACAATGTACAGTATTACAGCATCAAGTGCATACCCTCACCACAGAGAAAGAGGTCTGGAAAGTGAGTGATTGACCTCGCGTTTGCTCCAAAGCAACCTCATTCCTCAGTTCTAATCTACGTCCAACGTCATAGGGAGTGGAAAGTCGCTTGACGGCCGAAAACGGTAATTTGATCCGAGAACGAGATGGCATTAGTGGTATCTTGAAGAACATGCGTTCGATGCAAGGCGAGTTGGAACGCAACTCTTCTGATGGCCGACGCCGACTAGAAAATCAGGTTACTAGGCTGGAAGCCCGAGTGTAAGTGTCACAACCCTCTTTGATTTTCGTTGATGCACTAATATTTGGTTATGCGACCAGTCAAGAACTAAAAGATAAGTTGAAGAACGAATCTGAAAGTCTCAAACAAGTCACTTTACAGCGAGAGTTGGACAACAGAGACTTCCAAATGCGAATAGATAAACTGGTGAGTTTTTGGAAAATTGAAACTAAAAGTACAACAAATGCTCTCACCCGATTGACCTTGCAAAATTTTCACTTGCCTCTGCCACCTGCTTTCGTGATCTCAGAGTGGTGACTATGTTGCTGCTCGGGAAAACCTCGTTGTCGCACAGACCAAACAAGAGCATTTGGAAGCCAGAGTCAAGGAGCTTTCTGGCCAAATTACCATGAAAGAAGATCGATTGAATGTCTATGAGCGCTACGGAGTATCTAATACATCGACAAGTCAAGGCTCAGGTGACGGTAATGGAGCCCAAGCCTCTACCCTGAGTCAACAGCAGAAGCTGGAGATCGAGAACGCTCAATTGAAGTGAGCTAATCATTATTCCCTTTCGGGTCTCCTTTGCTAAACCAATCCTTACGTATGTGTTTTATTACAGACGCGACTTGATAGCTGCCAAAGAAGAGACGGCCAAAGCCAAACAGAATGTCGAAGAGTTTAAACTTATTGCCCAAACAGCAGAGACTGCGTTGGTATCACTCACATCCACTCACGATGAGTACAAATCTACCCAAGAGGCCGACTTATCACAAAAACAGGTAAGGTCTTTGCACTTCTTGGATTTTCTGTGACTCGCTCTATGTTCTGCACCGCCATGATGAATATTGAAAGCTGAGAAAATTTGCTGTTGTAGACTGCTTTTGCTACGTTGGAAGAGCAAACCAAGAAGCTCACCGAGAACTTGGAAGTTGCGTCTGCTCTCAATAAGGAGTTGCAGCAAATGCTCGACAATCAAAGATCCGAGTTCGAGACCGAAAAGGCACGTTTGCTATCGACGTTAACGGGTCTTCAGGATATTGAAGAGAGAGTCAAAGCACGAGAAAGCGAGCTACGAGCCGAGGGTGATCAGCAACGAGCGCTAGCCAATGAGAATCATAATCGATATCAGGCTGAGGTACAGAATCACGCCATCTCGTTGAACGAATTATCGACCCTTAAAGAGCAACTTGACAAGGCTCGGGCCAAGATTACTGCTGCAAATACTGCAGCCGATACCGCCAATGCAAAGTTGCTAGGATCGGAAGCTAGTTGGGCTGAGCAAAAAGTTACCTTCGCAAAAGAAATTGAGGGACTCTCAGAAAGGTTTGTTTCGAGCTGGATATATCAGCCATGTCGATCTGGGGCCAATGTGTATTTTTTTTCCTTTTTCTACGTAGATGTGAAGATCTCAGGAAGCAAAACACCCTGCTGCATGAGCATTTGGAATCCGTCAGCTCACAAGCAGCCCAAATTTCTAATGACTCCATCAACTCAGCGGCTGGTATGCTTAACGCAGCCGAAGAAAGCACTTTGGAAGATACTGACGAAAACAAAACACAATCGATTCAGCAATTACGCGGGCTGATCAGATACTTGAGAAATAATCACGATTTGATTCAAAACCAGCTATCATTGGCTAAACATGAATCTGAACGCTTGCAAAAGCAACTACATCATACCTCAAAGGACCTGGACCAGACTCGGTCCGAGTTGAACCAGGTATGTCATCATGACCCTTCACATCTTTTCCAATGGTTTACTGTTCTGAACCTCGTAATCTCGACGTGTATTGATGACCATGATGTCGTGGCGTGCTTCTTGTTCAGGAGCGGGAACGCACTCGACAAGGATATGTATCCTCTTCGGAGTATACTCAATTGCTAGATCAAATCAATACGCTGAATATGGTCCGTGAAAGTAATGCGACTCTGAGGGATGAGTTTGTTCGATCGGACCGCAAAGCTAAGGATCTAGAAGCAAAATTGCAACAAACAAATGCAAAGCTAGTGCCCCTGGAAACCGAACTTCGGGAGGTGAAAGCAGTCGTGCAACAATATCAGCAAGAAATTAGTCTTCTGACCGAAGATAACGAACGATGGAAAGCAAGAAATCAACAGATATTGGAGAAATACGAACGTATTGATCCTGCTGAGGTGCAAGCTCTTCGTGATAGCATCATTCAACACGAGGCTGAAAATACCCGACTACGTGCAGATGTCAGTGATTCTCGACTACTGGATATGAGAGCAGCTTAATTGAACGCGTCCCCATCTGATCTAATTTGCTCTCTGGATAATCATCAGTGTGCTGAAAAGCAGGATAGGTTTGTTCGTTTACAAACCTTCGCGCGCGAGCAGAGAACGAAATTGAGTGTGACAGAGGCTGAACTGAGCTCGCAACGGGAAGCCATTCAACAAGCAGAAGGCCAAGCTCAAGAACAACGCGATCTGGTAAGCTTACATGAGTCTAAAGGTTTATTCTATACTTCCGAAAAGCGATTTATTGAACTAGCGATGATTGACTTACAGGTTGGAAGACTTCAACAAGAGAAGGCAGACCTAGAAAGGTCTCTGGCCGATGCAATTGCTCATAAGAAGCAACTTGCCGAACTTCAAACTGCAATAGACGAGTCAAAGGTTGAGATGGAGAAGCGGCAGGCTGCAGTTGATGTCAGTGTAATGACACAGCACATCTATCTTCGCGTTTCGCTAACATGCAATTCATCATTTCTTCCCGTCCCTGCGATAGTCGCTTACAAAGGCAAACTCTGCTCTTATTACCGAGAAGGTGCGCAGTCGATGTTCATTTCTGACAGCTCGCCATCTGAACACCTCAGCTGATCAGTCTCATCGGATCCTTTGTTTTATAGCAAGAGATTGATGCGGCAAAGCAGAATTTGGAGTCAGAGATCAAGAAATTGACCGCCAATACATCACAACTGCCGCCTGCACCAATGTCCGAAGAGTTGATTGAAGCAGAGGTCACCAAACGATTAGACGCAAAGTTGGCATCAATTCCATCTAATGGAGGTCCTACTATCACACCCGCTTCTAGCGACGAGCTACAAAAAGCTGAAGCGCTCGCCATCTCTCAAAGAGAGGCGGCGGTGCAACAGGCCATGGAGGATACGACAAAGAAAGTGACTGCGGAGTGTGAGAAGAGAAGAGAAGCCGATATCGCTAAGCTCAAGCTCGAACTTTCGGTTCCGCCTGACGAGGCAGTCAACGCGCTATTGATACAAAAACAAGCTGCCTTGAAAGCTGAATGGGAAGCGGGAGCTCAAGTCAAGGAGCAGCAGCTTGAATCACGATTGAAAGCGGCTTTGGAAGCAGTCGAAAAGGCTGAAAAGGCGGTAGTTCAACAATCCGCGTCCATCTCATCGCCGCCGGTTGGTTACTCGGAAAAGCAGCTCCAAGAGAAGGTCGAAAAGGCAGTTTCCGACGTTCTGGCAGCCAAGGAGATCGAATTCAAAAATAAGGAGGCCGCACTGCTAGAAGCACACAGAATTGACAAAGTGGCCACTATTGACGACCTTAGAATCAAGATCGCCAACGAGGCAAAGACCAAGGAGAAAGTTACACAGCTTCAACTCAAAAAATGCCAAGCGCAACTAGCGCAATACAAGGAGCGAGATAGCGCTGCAAGTCAATCGCAATTGGCCACTACTCCAGCTGCGACGTCTTCAACGCCCGCAAGCAATGCGACTCAGGTGTCTGCGCCTTCCGTTATCCCACAAGTTCCAGTTTCTGGCAATACACTTGCAGCTGCCCCGGTGACCGGCCCACCTGCGACCGTCACTCCGTCTACCGAAACGCCACCCCAAACATCTCCTATCCCGACTTTGACAGGTAACGGTGCTGCTGTCAGACCCGCAGCTCCTACTATTACGTTTGGAAGAGGTTCGCGCCCAGCTGGACGCGGTATAGGACGTGTTGCTCACGGTGGTCGCGGGCGGGGTATCGATTCATTACCAGCGGAGGGGAGGATGGTGGAGAAGCCTGGGTTGACTAGTAATATCGCTGGAAGGGGTGGTCCTTCGTTGGCCATTCGAGGAGTCGCTGCCACCAAGCGAGGATCATTGGGTGCTGGAATGTTAAATGCGGCAGTAAGAGCAGCTACCAGTGGTGCATCGACCCCAAATGAACTCAGTACGTCTGAAGGTCCTATGGCCAACTTTGGTACAGTAGGTAAACGGGCAAGAGAGGAGGAGGCTGCAAGTGTTCAGGCCGAAGCATCGAACGTCGATGGAAATGCGAAACGTCCGAAATCAAACGTTGGAGGGGAGGAGACAGTTAATCAGACTACTACAAATGCGGGAGGATTAGCCTCAAGGTTGAGCAAAGGTGCAGCACCTTGATGATTATGTTTGTCTCATGTGAACCTAAAGCTCTGTTTGAGGTATAGTGTATTGAGAAGTGAAGTGAAAAAGGTCCTACTTATGTGAAATGTATCAACATCATTTTTGATTATGTTTTACTTGCTTAAACTGGAACAGCACTGATTTTTAAGATAGAGATTCTTTCAAAAAGGAAAAGAAAGTCAATAATATTTTAATATTTTTTCATATTGTCTTTGGGTTGAGGTGTTGTTTTGAATTTTATCATTGGTGTAACCCTGACGCTATAGAAGTCAACTGAGTTTCTACAGTATCTTGATGAGTACCTTTTTATTAGTGTTCTTGGCCAATAAATCAGAGGTTTCTGACTTTGATCACTCTGGGTTGGTTTTGGAGCCTTTAAAAGCTAGTGTGCTCAAGTGGGCTCTTATTTTGATTCATGTCTTATTTGCTAGTATCTCTACCCCAACACAGTGCAATTATTAAATATATGCTATAATGCCTAGCCCACTGATTTGCCAAAATTTTATCAACTCTCAAAACCAATTTGAGACAGCTATGCAGAACTATGCTATGAGGCATGTAACACATAGGGTGGCTTTGTTAGGTAGCGGAAAAGCTAGACAGGCCCTAGCATACCTCTGAAAGATACGCTAACCAAGATAATGTAACTTGTTTAAAGTCTCACAGCTATCATAAATCAATAGCTTGTCTATTTCAGCTGCATCAGCACTACCTAGCGCGCGACATGGCTCAAAATAAAAAACCTGCACAACACGCGAGCTTTGATTCAGGGATGCAGGTCACGCTCACACCCGGCACCTTTTCTGTGGCCCAGGGCATGGTCATGGCCAGTCATATACAGAACATCTACTCATAGCCCAACTCATTTTTAGTCGCTACTTGCCGCTTAAAACAATCTTTAGGGTGGGTTTAGCTGGACTTCATGCCCTATGAAGGGCATGAAGGGCTTGGGGTGAGGGCCACATGTGGCCTCAGCCCATGCCTTGGGCGCCTCAAGGCTTTGTGGCACCTGGTGTGAGTGTGAGACGCAGATGTGGGTAGACTCTACTTGGTTACAAAGCAGGTCCAAGACACTCAAACTGAGTCCCACTCAGTCATATGGAAAGACTGACTGAGATACTCAAACAAAATTTGTCAATGGGCACCCTCAGACCACAAGACTTGTGATGGCCCCATCTACAAGTATCTATTTCTCCACAGGACCCACAGTCATGTTGTACTCACTTGAGATCTAACTCACCAAGATGCAACACCAAGTGAGTAGAAGCTAAATTCTGCAGAGAGGGAGTACCGGTCACTCATGATTATCTCAGTTGGAGAGGACAAATTCAGAACACTTGTATTCAGATTGCCTAACAATTTTCAACCTCTAAATCATGATTTTTTGACAAAGAGGTGGATAAACAGGGGATATTGATTGTATTCCTCAAACAGAGAAGTAACATATAAAAGAAAAGATTTAAATGGGATTCAACAGGAGGTTGTTACGAACCTGAATGTGTAACGTACTGTGAAAGACACAAGACATGTCACAGATGAGAGTTGTCTATTCACTTGTTGTATTACGTAATATGCTTCTCTTCATCCAACAATCAATATACTTCTTTGATTGCTTGGTACAAGTGCATCCCTTCATTCCGTTGACAAGACAACAAACCCAGAGAGGGGTCTTAACATATTGTCGGATCATTACTTAGGAATTGAGGGAACGAAATCAGACCAAAATCAAAATCAATAAAATTGAATTATAATAGAATTATCAATTGAAACCTCACTCACTGTACTGAAACCTTAAGAGACATCTAAAATTAAATTTGGAGACAATGATTTTTGATGATTGAAAAAAAGGATACAACTGTCCTTAAGAGTCCTCTCCCAGGTGCCCAGTAGCTCACGCTCACACCCGGTGACTTTTTTGTGGCCCAGGGCGTGGCCAGGGCCATGGCCTATGCCACGCATGGCCTTAAAAACATGGCACAATTCAACAATTTATACACGTTATAATGCCACCATCCTTCATGATATTTGCCGCGAAGACGGAACAAATCCAACTCGCCCTCATTGGAGCACAGAGAACACAAAATCACACTGAAGGGCCAGGGCATGGCCGAGGCCGAGGCCCCGGCCCTTGCCCTGAGCCCTGCCGTGGCGCCACGAGGCATCGGGGCATCGGGTGTGAGCGTGACCAGTAGCCTTGTAATTCATGAGCCAGTGCCTGACTAGGACCAGGTGGCATACCACATCAGTTATTAAGCCGCCTCTGAACAGGACCATCATGTTACCCAAGATTGAAAAGACACACTTGCCAGAGGCCAAAGAGGCAGCAATTGTCAGATGCTACAGGGAAATCTGGGCCAAGATGGGATGCAGGCCCATTTTGGCCATGCACTGGATAAAAAAATGGCGAACATGGAAAGAGGACAAAGTCAGTAAGGGCCCGTTTGGGTTGTTTTCAGATATTATCTGACCTGAACACCAAATCTTGGTTTGCCCCTATCTCAAGGGGCACATCAAGATTGTTGTAAATCACATATAGAGATTACCAAACAGTGATCCAAAAGAGGTCAACAGACATCTGTTGAGCTTGTCATAATCAGTACAGTGTTTGGTGATTGCAATATCAAGTGTATCTACTCTTTTTATTCAGCTCAATATTCTAAATGGTCATTGTCATCCTGCTTCATCATTCCTCACATCTATACAACTCTCTATCTTGTTATATCATCACAATATATAGAATCAATTCAAATCAAGTACTATCTTTGACCTGTTTTAAGATAGTTTGATCCTCATGACCACCATCAGAACAAGGAATCATTCAAAGTATGAAGTTGCAAGGATAGCCAAGCAAGTGAGGAGATGTGAGCATTGAGAAGGTAATATTGGGAAGGGTTATGGTGTGTGGGTAATGATAAAAGTAGAAATAAATGAGCAAAGGGGATGGATTGGGGAGGGGCAGATTGAGATATTGGCTCCAGATACAGTCAAAAGGCTGTAATACAGCCTTTTGTATCTCAATATTGTTGATCAGATATCACCATGTTGGTATCCTTGTAGCACATTGAAATGCACACACAGAGAGTTTTGAAAAAAAATCTTTTGGTAGGATTTAGACTGAGATTGGTGTTGAGTACCCTTTGTGAATGATCATTTGACTAAAGGATTTGTGGGATCCTTTGTCAGCATTTGGGGTCAACTGTGTGTCAAAATCCCAGTTGACAAAGGGAAGACATGCCTATTGTTGAGACCTCTGTAAAGGATCTTTCAAGTATGTATCAAAAGTTTTTGGTGTGTGCACGTCAACGTGCTACAAGGATACAGACACAGTGTATTGACCTTAGCTTTTCAAACCAAATGCCAATTGGATTCAGGCTATCTGGTTAAGTTTGGACCAAGATACAATGTGGCTGTATGTAATTTTTTTGGTGTGAAATTTAGCCACATTGTATCTGCTTGCGGTGTCTGAACAGGCCCTCAGTGATTGTATTGAGTTTCCATGGATCACAATAAAGGAAAATTGAAAGGAGAAGAAACACGCCATCCAAAACTTCCCAATGATCTCATTGGGAAAAGTGGGATCCTGATTGGTGAAATAACAATGAATTTTGTCTGATGTGTCTATTGACATACTTTTCTGACCATTTGAGGTGGACCCCACAAGTTAATAGATGTCCAGGATGTTCTGGACCACAAAGTTGTGCAAGTTGGACTTCCAAAGATTGTATTCATTGTGAAGGCACTGTTTTGCAACAATTTCAAAGGCTTCATGTGCCATATCATAATGTAAATGTTTGTCTCCTTGGAACAGATTCCTGAGTAGTGTATAGACTAGGGGTTGGTGGTTTTTTTTCCTTGCACAAGAGATACTCGACCAATTTGACCTCTGCCCATTTGTAAGCAAGACCTCAGGCACCAGAGACTGCTTGATTTGTCTTGAGGACCTTTTCAGAGAGCTGGGAGAACCAACTGATTTGTGGAGTTGTTTGACCAAAAAATGTGGGTTGCTGCTTTGAACACCATGTATTTGAACATCTCCAGGATGGGTTCCATCTACTCAATGGTTGCCCACTTGGTTTTCTGGCTAGTTCAGCTTGCGTTGGGTCCGCGGTGTAAAGTTCAAGTTGGACTGACACGTGAGTTGTACTGCAGTCTGTACAACTCTGTCAGTCTGAGACTCCGCCTTGGGGCCCAACTGTCAGAAAGTGGGTGGGTACACTCATACCCACACCTGAATCCCTGCTTTGATTACTACCATCATGTATCTAAAATGTTGAAGTAGATTAGATAAATAGAAAAGAAGGAAATGAAAAACTACAAAGAGTAAAATTAAAACAATGAAATCCTTTGAAAAGTCTCGAAGCTCGTCCTGATAACCCAAATGACGAATCTAGAGGTGAGTCTCAAATCACCTCTCGTCCTAACTACCTGACTAACCTACAGATTATAAATAGAGACATACAATAATGAAGATAACAAGAGTTAAATAATATAAACAGAGAATAGTGTAAGAGAAGTAATCTGACCTAAAGGTTTATAGTCAAGATGAAAAGATAGAATATGAATTCGACACGTATGGTCTCAGTATTGAATCTAGTGTCGACATGTCATCAGATGAAAAGGTCACATATTCAATTAGTAATAAAGAAATAAGAAGAAATGAGAAAGAATAGAGAGATGAAACTATAGAAGAGAAATGTGGAGTAACTCACTCTTTTCCTATACCGTGAATGAACGGATGAGGAAAAGAGAGAGTGTACACGCGTCCCAGGAGTGGCGCAATTTAAGTTGAAGATAATTAGGGTTTGAGATTTAGTTTAGTATGTTTAGTATAAAAGTTGTATTAAGACTTGTGGCTTATGTACTATTCATTTCCAGTAACATGTCACGACATCTGGAACCTCTGTCATGAGAGAAGGTCATACTCAACACACCCCCTGTTTCAGATGTCCGTGAATGACTTCCAACCCTATCTGATCCCTAAGTTCACGGAAAGGACCTGGATGTAGAGGCTTAGTGAGGGTGTCGGCAAACATGTTCTTACTGCTAACATGTCTCATTTTGATGACATTCTTCTCGACTTGCTGCCTGATCCAATGATATTGCACTTCAATATGCTTTGTGCGAGCGTGAAAGATTGCCTTTTGCGTCAATGATACTGCCCCAGTGCTATCACTACATAGAATGGTCGGATTCTCCTGCCCTGATGATATACATGACAATAGTCCTCGCAGCCATACAACCTCCTGGCCTGCTTCAGTCATAGCTTTGTACTCTGCTTCCGTCGACGATAAGGCTACTGTAGGTTGTAATCGACTTTTCCAGCTTACCGCTGCCCCGTTGAGTTTGAATACATATCCAGTTGTAGAGCGTCGAGTGCTTGGATCCCCTGCCCAATCGGAGTCAGTATGACATTCGGGAAAGTTCCAACTTTGAATACCTTCAACTGTGGTAGCTTGAGATGAATAAACGAGACCTAGGCTTTGAGTTCCTTTTAAGTAACGTAAAACATGGAGTCCCATTTTCCACGCTGTCATTGACGGTCTAGATAGATGCTGAGACAGTGCTCCAACTGCGTAAGCTACATCAGGGCGGGTTCCTTGGGCGATGTACATCAGACTTCCAACCAGGCTATTATATGGGAGTCCTGATTGCTTGAAATCTAACACTTCTGAATCGCTGGCTTTTGAAATTTTGGTTCCCCCCGGAAAAGGCGTAGATGCTGGTTTACAATCTTCACAGTTGAACCTTTCCAAGACAGTTTGAATGAAAGCTGGTTGACTTAACGAGTAACCTCCATCTTCGTGTGAGTGAATCTCAATCCCAACTATGCAATGAGCTGGTCCTAAATCCTCCATTCGCCACTTCAACTTGAGTAGTCTTTTGATCTCTTGAATCTTGTCCCCGGTGATAGCCATATCATCTACATGCAGGTAAATTAGGGTCTCATCACCATTTTCATCTTTCCCATACCATAAGCAAGCGTCATGAGGATTTTGCACCAAACCAATTTGCTGAAATTTATCTTTTACTTCATCATTCCAACACCTAGCTGACTGTTTCAGACCGTACAACGCCTTCTTCAAACGAGCTACCTTTCCATTCGCACGTTCATCATCATATCCTTCAGGCAACTCCAAATAGATTTCCTCTTTCAGATCACTGTTTAGGAAAGCTGCGATAGCATCCATTTGTTCTATATCCCAATCCTTTCCGGCAGCCACCGCCACCATTACTCTGAAAGAAGCTAGTCGTCCCGTTGGCGCAAAGGTTTCATTGAAGTCTATACCCTCAGTTTGAGTATAACCTTTCGCCATGTATCGAGCTTTATGCTTTGAAATAGATCCGTCTGGGTTGAGCTTGTATTTGAAGTGCCAACGTCCACCAACTACCGGTGCATCTTTTGGTCGGTCTACTATCTCCCAGACCCCCATGTCCTGTATGTTCTTCATCTCTTTGTCACACGCCTCTCTCCATTTAACGGCATCAGCTGACTTCATTGCCATTTTATAGCTCTTAGGTTCGGCTCTGGCTCTCATCGCTTCTCTACATTCAAAGATTCGAAGAGGCGTTTGTGTCATTTTAGGTACTATACTGCGCATAGCCGGAGTATGGATGATATTAGAATCACCAGGCACGTATCGATTCACTTGTTGATGATCTCGATTAGATCTTCGGGGTTCTGGTCTTGACGCTTGTTGGGGCTGAGACGGGGGACTATCAGCATCAGGGCTTGTCGGAGTCTTATTTGATTCCTGAATTGGCTTTTCTTGGGTTAAAACAGGTTCGGTAACGATCTGGGGAGTGAGACTCTCCTCAACAATGTCGTTATCATCGTCTGACTCATATGTCTGTTCTTGTACAACTTCAGGATTGTTTGTATTATCAAACAGATCATCTTCATCATCTGAGTCATGATTATGATGTGTCGGACCTGGAATCTGATCTTCCGTAGGTTCTTCTTCCTGTCTAGTCAACAAGGGTAGATCTTCAATAAAAACCCAGTCTGGATTCTTATCGGCATCCTTCATAAAGGGAAACACCAAGGGTTGAAATGTCACATCGTGACTGATATGTATGTGATTTGTTTCTAAATTGAGGATAGTGAAATTATGATTGTCTTCCGTGGCTCCTAATAGAACCCCGGGTCTTGATACAGCTTCAAATTTTCCGCCTCGAATTTCTTTTCTGATATGTCGATAGGCTAAGCATCCGAAAGGCTGAAAGCGTTTGAAGTTACTTTGTCTTCCTTTCCACATTGAATGAGGAGTAGCTTTGAGATTGAGCGAAGTGGTAATAGTTCTGTTCTGAAGTAGTACTGAGTAAGAAACCGCATGATACCAGTATCTAATTGGTAGACATGACTGAATCATCATGCACCTAGCTTTTGTGTTTATGGTACGGTTTGATCGTTCTGCCACACCATTTTCTTCAGGTGTGTACGGTGAGGTGACTCGCACGACAATTCCAAGTGATTCAAGATAAGGAGATAAGAGACCGTTGATGAATTCTCCCCCACCGTCTAAGGAGAACATCTTCAATTTCTCCCCGGTCTGTCGTTCAGAGTAAGCTATGTAACGCTTAAAACAGTCAAAGACAGTCTCTGCACTCTTATCAGGCAGTCCGAAAGATACTCGATAACTGCTGAAGTCATCCGTGAATAGTATATAATATTCCTCACGGTTGACAGCTGTGGTTCTGATTATTCCACTTAGATCGACGTGAACGTTCTCAAGAAAAGTGGTGGCTCTGGGTCTGGTGGAGGAAAATGGCAATCGATGATTTTTGGCTAAAGGACAAACAGGGCATTTTGATATTATTTCAAAGTCTTTGGGGTTTATATTTTGTGGCAGTACATCATGAAAGTAACCAAGATTCCACATCCTTTTTAGGTATTTCTCGCTTGGGTGACCTAAGGAGTAATGCAGTTTCAGAATTGTAAGTTGGTTGACTGATGACTTTGATGACTGATGGGATTCTCGACTGACCGCTGATCGTATAGTGACATACATCATACTGCCCTCGCCAATGAATCGTCCAATGAATAGTTCTTTCTTCCCATGATCGATTCGAAAGTTTGGATCTTCAAGGACCGTGGTGACTGCGCCTGCCCTAAGAATCCTTCCACCAGCTATGAGATTTCTAGATAACTCAGGAACATATAAACACTCCTTCAATTTAATTTCTTCACCTCTTGAGTTAAGAAGCGTAACGTTTCCGATCGAATGAATGTCCAGGGTCGCGCCTCCTCCAGCTAAGTTGAGTTTTGCTTTCGGATCATCATTTGCCATCATAGTACCAACTTCGAATAGTGAAGCATCGTGGAACATATGATGCGATGCACCAGTATCGATGAGTGCTACCGAACTACACTGATCACCTACACATGCGAGTTGAGGTTTTGCCGAGCAAGAGTAATGTCCATCTATATCAACATGATAACTGAATTCGCGATCCTCTAGCTTTAATCCCTCGAATGCTGACTCGAGTTCTCTAGAATCAGGAAAGTCGGAACCACCGATGTGTCGGGAGAATCCACCAGCAAAGTGAGCGCCACCTCTTCCGCGACCTCTTGAGCTACCACGACTTCCACGAGGATACTCCACCCATTCTCCAGCGTCACGTTTGGATTTCTTCCAAGCTTCCATCTTACTGGAGTTATTGGGATGATGATAACATTCAGATGGATCGTGTGGCTTTGTCGGGTGATCTCGGCCAATGCATCGATTCTTGCTACAGGTCTGCCAACGGCCGGTACGTCTTCCATGGCTCGCTTCTGATGTATCCACTACACGACTAGATTGCTGTCTTCCTGAGTTGAACATCTTTCGAGTTTGATAGGTTTTCTTCAATTCAATCTCGAGATCTCTGAATTTGACGTGACCAGCATCAAGTAAGTCGCATCCTTTCTCTGCCCACTCTCTGTTAAGAGATCTAACGAATTGACGAGCTTGCTCTTCCTCAGACATTTCACCGTTTGCACCCAAGTAAGCATCAACCTTAGCTCGAAACATGTCAATGTACTCGAGTAGGTCTTTGGTCGATCCTTGGGAAAGGTCGGTGATTTCGCTTCTTAACATAAGCTTGACAGATTCAGAGTTACTGATGTGATAATCGCGAATGGACTTCCAAAGTATCATTGGAGATGTTGGGGTTTTCTTGACACCGTTTTCGAAAGTGGATATCATCGAGATGAACCAAGTGGACTGAGTCTGTTCCATATTGGCGAGTAACCAATGAAATATGCTCTTCTTGGTAGCTAGGTGCACGCTGGGATCAACACCATCAGAATGAGCTGATTCCGAGTCGAGGTATTCATCGTATGATGCTGCAGCTCCTAGCCCGAATCGAATACTGTCGGACCAAGGTGCGTAATTGGTAGCATCAAGCTTTATGTTGATGGTAATTTTGGAAAGAATACCATTAACTCTGATCGACTGGCGCTGAGCAGGAGTCTCGTAATCGGTAGCCTGATTATTGGCCATGATTAACGCGGGAGAAGGATTGTTTGGGACTAAAGTGTGGGTGGAATGGAAAGATTCTGAAGATGTATCTTCGTTGTTGCCTTCTGTATCACTTTCGGCGTCTGTTTCTTCAAACTCGTTTTCTGGAGCTGGGGTGGAAGCTGGTGTAGGTAGTAAGCTATCTTCAGAGGTATCTTCTCTGCTAGACATAGGCTTCGGCTTTCGACTTCAATAATTGAGAGATGAACTAATCTCTTGCTACCATGAAAAGTCTCGAAGCTCGTCCTGATAACCCAAATGACGAATCTAGAGGTGAGTCTCAAATCACCTCTCGTCCTAACTACCTGACTAACCTGATAACCCAAATGACGAATCTAGAGGTGAGTCTCAAATCACCTCTCGTCCTAACTACCTGACTAACCTAAAGGTTTATAGTCAAGATGAAAAGATAGAATATGAATTTGACACGTATGGTCTCAGTATTGAATTCTTTTCCTATACCGTGAATGAACGGATGATATTTCACCTGATAACCCAAATGACGAATCTAGAGGTGAGTCTCAAATCACCTCTCGTCCTAACTACCTGACTAACATACAGATTATAAATAGAGACATACAATAATGAAGATAACAAGAGTTAAATAATATAAACAGAGAATAGTGTAAGAGAAGTAATCTGACCTAAAGGTTTATAGTCAAGATGAAAAGATAGAATATGAATTCGACACGTATGGTCTCAGTATTGAATCTAGTGTCGACATGTCATCAGATGAAAAGGTCACATATTCAATTAGTAATAAAGAAATAAGAAGAAATGAGAAAGAATAGAGAGATGAAACTATAGAAGAGAAATGTGGAGTAACTCACTCTTTTCCTATACCGTGAATGAACGGATGAGGAAAAGAGAGAGTGTACACGCGTCCCAGGAGTGGCGCAATTTAAGTTGAAGATAATTAGGGTTTGAGATTTAGTTTAGTATGTTTAGTATAAAAGTTGTATTAAGACTTGTGGCTTATGTACTATTCATTTCCAGTAACATGTCACGACATCTGGAACCTCTGTCATGAGAGAAGGTCATACTCAACATCCTTCACAATGTTGGGGCACTGCATTTCTCTGAGCCACAAATTACAGAAACCTTTTTCAAATGGACCACTGCAGATCCCCAGCTTTTTCAGCCAAAAGCTTCCCTTCAAGAACAAGGTACACAACCAGATCTTGGCGGTATGGATTCTTGCAGAGGCCTTACTATGGAATTGTATTGAGGACTCCTTACTTGGCTTTGCATTTTGGTATGCTTGGCATGATGCTCAGATATTCCAACACACATGGGTATCCAGAGACGCTGCTGGCATGTCCATATGATTCCAGGGCACAGTTTTGAAGGAAATAAATGTCAGTCAATGCTTTTGAATACTTTTTAGTCTAAACCGTCTGATGCACTGAGTTATTGGATAACCAACAGAATGGAAGATTTTGATACACAATGGCTGGAAAATACACAAAGGAGCAATCAAGGTGTAATTTGCAAGCTGGTGAGGTGAAGAATTCAAGAGACGGTCAAGGGGGGATGAGGTGAGGCACTCAGCATGAGTGTGGTTGTGTTACATAGGCTTCTGAGTTCTGAAGTCTATTGGCCAAGGCTTTCAAATATGTAATTCTTCCACGAGTACAGGGAGCCAGATCACAGCCAAAAAGTTTCTTTTCTGGCTTTGTGGAGAACAAATTGTCTCAGCACTTTGCCACCTCAATGTTGGCTCAGCACATCCTACAGGTGAAGAAGCTTGTAAGGGTTAGACTGTTTGTTTAGTAAAGTGCTACGTGAGCTGGGTTCAGTACGACATGAGTCAGTACGGCTTATATCTTCAGGAAAGAAAGATAATAACTGTCAGGGTAGCTGCTAAATGAGAGAGTAAGTAGTCTAGTTTTACTTACTTAAAGTCCTGACAAGAGTTCTTACTGTGTACGTAAGAACTGTGCTAACGTTGTTCCTATCAACAGGTAATAAGAAATCTATTGTTAGACAACAATCCTTTTAAGGTTAAAGGAATTTAAATAAGACAATGGACCACAGCTTACTGTAGGTTGACAGAAATGAGTTGGTCGGATTCTAAGCCTGGTGATTCTCAAAGGGTATGAATTCCTAAGAGTAGCCTGTGTTACGAGACAACAGGGATTCTGTCAACTTTACGTTGCAGAACCAATGGCAATTGACCAAGATTTAAACTATCCTATTGAAATAGGAATAGTATAGAGTTTTTATTCTGGACTTCCCAGTAGGGGTTTTTAGAACGAGTTATAAGAGAATTCAGGACATTTCACTTACACATATGTAATAACGGATAACTTGCTTGGTGACTTCTACGATGGGAGTTAATAGAATGTTGTCGCTTTCTTTCTTCAAAGATAAATCACAAGTAATCTGTAATGGTTGAAGTTACTTAGTTAAAAGAAGGTGCTGAATCTGCTTTTGGTGTGCAATTCCTCTACTATTTATACGCTTCTACTTGAATGGGCCTACTCGTGGTTGTTACTAGTTCCTAAGGTGATTGAGAGGCCGTCTTGTGGTTCTCGTTAATGGTATTAAAGCTAGGAAGGCCTGCTCGTGGTCCTGATTGTTTTATATATATCTTATTCAAAAGTTGTGTAGGTAAGAGATGTATTCTTTCTGCTTTGGGAAGCGGATTTGTTTGAACTAATGCTTTGGGAATGAATTCTTTTTGGTACTCCTTGCTGGAGTACCGGGATGATTCTTTCTTAAAGTTTTATATCCTCTTATTTAAGCTATTGTTTCTTCTTTGTAGGTTCATGGATCTTATGTTCCCTCTTTGAGACTAGACGGAAAAAGGTGTAAGGTTTGTCTTTGATACTCAGACGTAAGGTGTATTAATCTTTCAAGATTATCAAGAGAAATGTAATTTTGTTAGTCTTTGAAGCTAGACTGTCAAGATGTAATAGTAATTTTTTTTAATAATGAGCTTTCTGTTGAAGCCTTTCTGGCTTTTGCTCCGCAAAAGCTCAAGGGCTGACAATAACTTCATAAGATCTCCTAGTATGAAAGGATTGGTAGATGGTGATCCTCCTGTAAGTCATGCACAAGTTAGTTAGTCAAGGTAGCTTATAAACAAAGTAGAGTCAAAACAGATGAAGTTCAAGTCTATGTGCGTGAGCTCACAGGTATATAAAGACAACTGAGCTTTGTAAGTGAGAGAGTTAAGAACAGAAAAACATACTACATATGATGTGAATATGAAATGTAGTTATGTGAACAAATCAAATACAAATTTGAAATAAAAACATAACACGTGATCAGAGAGAGAACAAATGTAGAAGAAAACATAACAGTCATTTCAAATAAAGCAACCTCCAACATCTTCCACATTCAAAGGCAGTTTGGAGAAGCTAGGTTGCACCGCTCCTTCACATGCCCAGGAACACAAAGATTTTCTTGGTGTTTTTACCTTCTTGGGAACACTGCCACATTGTGACACAACTGTCATGGCCACCATTCTAAATCCATTTTTGGACTACATTTTTTTTGACATGCTTTTGGTTTGGAGCACAAAATCACAATTCAACCACACAAGTTACTACAAGACAAAGTTGAAACTTGTAAGACAGAGTGTTCCACATCCCCTCACCCTCATGATGTACCTCAAGAAACAGATACTTCACAAGAAAACACACCAAAGATCTATTTAAACTTTTCAAGTCTCAAGATGCCAATGTGGAGACAAACAAGATTTCCGCTTAACTCAAGGGAACTCACCATATGTCTGTCAAAGACAATGTACAGGAAACCCAGGCAGTCTTTCTGTGTTGGTGGGTATGGGCTACTTTCTTGTTTTATTTCTTTCTTTCTCTTGTGTGTTTTCCTCAGACACTGAGCATTCCAATATTTTAGGTGCACCACATGGTTTTTCCAGTACAATTCAGAATGAGCAAAAATATGTTTTTCAATATATGTGCAAAACTTGAAGCACATGCCATCTTTTGGGTCCAAAGATACATATGCCCTCCCTTTTTTAAATTGCTTCAAACTTCATTGCATGAAAATCAACTTGTGCATTGAAATAGCTGGTTTATGAGATTTCAGTGGAAATAATAGATGAATATGTGGATTGGAGAGACCACTGAAATATTAGGTTTGAAAAGTTTGATGGAATGAGTGTCGAGATATCAGGTACTATCTTGTTTAGTAGTCAAGAAACATTATCCTATAGTATAGTGAGTGTTGTGTGAGTGATAAAGACAGTGATGTAGCGTAATGATGTGAGTAAGGGTTACATTTGTAGATTGATCAGGGTACTG